TAGTAGTAGTAGTAGTAGTAGTAGTAGTAGTAGTAGTTAGTAGTTAGTAGTAGTAGTAGTAGTAGTAGTAGTAGTAGTAGTAGTAGTAGTAGTAGTAGTAGTAGTAGTAGTAGTAGTAGTAGTAGTAGGTGGTGGTGGTGGTGGTGGTGGTGGTAGTGGTAGTGATAGTGGTAGGTAGTGGTGGTAGTAGTCGTAGTAGTAGTAAGAATCGTCGCAATACCAGCAGTAGCAATAGCAATAACAACATCAATCCTAGAAGTAGCCGTAGTAGCATCACTAGTAGTAGTAGTAGTAGTAGTAGTAGTAGTAGTAGTAGTAGCAGTAGCAGTAGCAGTAGCAGTAGCAGTAGTAGTAGTAGTAGCAGTAGTGGTGGTAGTGGTACTGGTGGTGGTAGTAGTAGTCGTAGTAGTAGTAAGAAACATCACAATACCAACAGTATCAATGTCAACAACAGCATCTTAAGTAAACGTAGCCGTAGTAGTAATAGTAGTAGTCGTAGTAGTACTACTAGTAATCGTAGTAGTAGTAGTAGTAGTAGTAGTAGTAGTAGTAGTAGTGGTGGTAGTAGTAGTAGCAGTAGTAGTAGGAATAGCAGAAGTCGCAGCACTAGTAGTAGCAGCACTAGTAGTAGTAGCAGTAGTAGTAGTAGCAGTAGCAGTAGCAGTAGTAGTAGTAGTAGTAGTAGTAGTAGTAGTAGTAGTAGTAGTAGTAGTAGTAGTGACAGTATTAGTAGTAGTAGTGACAGTAGTAGTAATAGTAGTAGTAGTAGTAGTAGCAGTAAAGTAGTAGTAGTAGTGGTAAGAGTAGTAGTACGAGTAGTCGTAGTCGTAGTAGTAGTAATAGTAGTAGTAGTAGTAGCAGTAGTAGTAGTGGTAGCAAAAGTAGTAGTAGTAGTAGTAGTAGTAGTCGTCGTGGTCGTAGTGGTCGCAGTGGTCGTAGTAGTAGTAGTAGTAGTAGTAGTAGTAGTAGTAGTAGTAGTAGTAGTAGTAGTAGTAGCAGTATCAAGAAAGCACGGATTCAACTTTACTCTGCGTGCCGATGTGTTGTTTGCCCTGGGGCATCTTGCGCCATCTCGGGCAGCCTCGGACAAGTGACCTAGCAAGTGAGCAATGTGAGTTGTGCAATTAGCGAGTGTTTTTTTGCGCGTCGGCGACGACGACCTCGACGAAGAGATTGGGAGCGCAAACAGATAATCGCCGAGAGGGCGACGGCGACGAAGACGAGGGTGACGACGGCAGCGACGACGACGATGACGACGACCGCGGCGATCACGACAACGACGAACAGACTCAGCGATTATTTCGCTGCGCGTCGTCAACTTCCTCGCGGAATAACATGGAATAACCGAAATCACAAAAAGGAGGTAGCTGAGAGTGCGACGACGACGAAGATGACGACGCAAACGGCGACGACCACGGACGGCGACGACGACGACGACGAACAAGCTCATATGAGATTGGCATGAGGCGCAAATCGTTACTTCACAGCATGGGTTTGCCTATTGAATCTCCACGGCCACTAACTCAGCTCTGGGCTCAAGGATTCCCGCTTTGCAAGCGAGAGTTTTGGGCAACATGGCAAAGTGCGCGGAAGTGCTCATGATGGCGACTGGCGGGCATGGGCAAGGGGTCGGGCTTGACAAGCGACGTGCGGAGTAGTGCCGCGGGGATCAGGCAGGGGGAACACAGTTCAACGCGATGCCAGCGCAGGAGGAGATTGCGAATGCCACATCGGTCCGTCGTGCACTCGGCGCAAGGGATGGAGGCTATGGAGGCGATGTGGTAGCGAGTATTGTGCGTGATTGCGACTGTGATATGTGACATCGGTTGAAATGGTCATGAGGCGCTGCAGGTTCACTCCTGGTCCTGCTCAGGCTGATCCCACGTTCGCATTGACGATTTCCCCAGCTCTGCGTCCACCGCATGCTCCCCACTTCCCTCGAATTGCCTGGGCATCGTTGCTGGGTGGGCTGGCGGGGGCATGCGAAGCGTCAATGCTTTCGCTATACAGAACTGTTTCGCTACCTAGCCCAGTCCACCTGTTACACACATTACGTCCTCCTTCAACGACGCTGCATTGTCAGCAGAAGCGTGCGGCATGGTGTCTTCTTCTTTTCCAAACCATCCTGCGGTGCTGGGATCTCGTTTTGAATATGCATTGCCCTGCGTGCCTCTCCTCTCCTTTTTCCCCTCCCCATTCCCTCCTCCCTTTTCTGCCTTGCGCATGTCCTCATCGTCATCGTCAGCATCCTGACCGTCACCATCATCATTGTCATCACCACCACCATAACCATGATTATCACAATCATCATGATCATCATCATCTTCACCATCAACAGCACCACAAGCATGATCACCATCATCATCATCAGCATCGTCATCATCATCAGCATCGCCAACCTCGTCATAACACTCCCCAGGCTAGGTGGTAGAACGGGTCCCCAGGCTAGATGGTAGAACGGGGCCCCAGGCTAGATGGTAGAACGGGGCCCCAGGCTAGGTGGTAGAACGGGTCCCCAGGCTAGGTGGTAGAACGGGTCCCCAGGCTAGGTGGTAGAACGGGTCCCCAGGCTAGGTGGTAGAACGGGTCCCCAGGCTAGGTGGTAGAACGGGTCCCCAGGCTAGGTGGTAGAACGGGTCCCCAGGCTAGGTGGTAGAACGGGTCCCCAGGCTAGGTGGTAGAACGGGTCCCCAGGCTAGGTGGTAGAACGGGTGGCTAGGTGGTAAGGGTGCGTAGTGGACCACTTGTAAGTGGTAGAAGGGTTCCAAGGTAAGTGGTAGAACGGACCCTCGAAGTGATAGAACGGAGTATTTTTCGCCTCGACGAGCCACGCGTCAAAGTCCGGCGCTGCGCGGGCCGCCGAGGTCTTCCGGCGCTGCGCGGGCGGGAGAGGGCTCCGGGGCGCCGAGGGGCGGCGGGCGGCGGGCGGAGCCGCGGCTGGCGAGGCGGGCCCCGCGCAGCCCGCGGGGACGCAGCGCGCCCTCCCGCGGGGGCCGCCTGCCAGAGGCCGCGCGCGCTGCTCGGCGAGGCGGGCCAGGGCGCGCCACCGGGGGGCAGGTGGGGCGCGGGCAGGGCTGGGGCGCGGGCGTCCGGGCGGGAGCCCCGCCTTCCGGAGCCTCGCGCTCGGGGGCGCCCGGCGGGGCCCGGGAGGTCATCGGCTGCACAGGCACTCGCCTGCTCATGCCGTCGCGAGAGGCGGCAGTTCGGCGGCGCGACCTGAGCCAAAACGGCTACGGAGGCGGAGGAGAAAGAGGAGGAGGAGGAGGAGGAGGAGGAGGAAGAGAAGGACGGAGACCACAATGCCCTGTTCAAGACGAGAACCCAACTCAGGAGGGTGGGGAAAAATCTCATCGGACTTATATATGAAATTGAAATTGTTTGAGCTCTACACGCCCCCGTAACGTCCGTTACGGGTGAGGGGGGGAGTCGGCCCGCGAGCGCTGCAGCATGCCTGTGAGCGCCAAGGCATGCCGGTCAGCACCACACCGTCCCTGTTAGCAGCGCACCACAAGCTGCTTGTGGGGGAACCGCCCCTCCTCCCTCCGCGAAGGGAGGGGGGGGAGAGGGGGGGGCGACCCCCCCTAACGAATGTTACGGGCTCCCTGGATAAAGGGACAACCCCCTGGTTGAAAACTGAAGAGCCTGGACTGCAGAGGCTGCGCAAGAGATGCTGCAAGTTTCCTTCTGGGCCGCGGGGCCCAAGCACAAAGCGGCCAGGGCCAGCTTGCGACCATCCGGTGCACCTATGCTCTTTCGCTGGCCATCGCTCGGACGTCCATTTCCTGTGTTTTTTTCGGTGTCGTACGTGTTTTTTTTCGCGAAATGATCAAGGATGCTCCTCGATGGTCCTCGCCGAAAGAAAAATGCACACGTCCGAGCGATGCCAAGTTTCGATAATACAACCGGGAACTTTTGCTCAGCGTGTCGCGACGGCGGCCCTGGCGACTCGCTATGCCTTGCAAGCGGATGCCGTGTCGCTCTGCTCCACGGGGCGGGAGGTCGGGAAACGCACGGAAAGGCTCGGGACGTGGACGCTCGGGGACTGGGACGTGGATGGCGTGTTGCGCGGGAGCGTGGTGGGCCAGAACCGTCTGAGGATTGCAAAAAAAAAAACCGAAGGATTGCAAAAAAACCCAAGGATTGCAAAAAAACCCAAGGATTGCAAGGGTTTTTTTGCAATCCTGGGTTTTTTTGCAATCCTTGGTTTTTTTGCAATCCTTGGGTTTTTTTTTTGCATGCTAAGCCAAACTTCCCGACCGTATAGTGGCCAAATGACTACGGACCCGAGCATCGCGTTCCGCCGAAAACTTCCTCGGAAAGCACTATCTGGTCGCCTACGGGGCGACCGGATGATCTCTCAGGCCACCGGACAGCGGCGATTTCGTGCGGGATTTCCTCCCAAACAACTCCCCAGTATCACAGTCACGATTTCGCTTGAGACTTCCTGGACACAGAATTTCGGGCCCCATTCCATGCCACATTCTGTCAGGGGCCATTCGAACATCGAGAATCGATGAGAGATCGAAGATCCTGGATCGAGGATCCAGGATCGATCAGCAGTCGAAGATCGAGGATCGAACGAAGAGCGAAGATCCAAGAAACGGTTACTTCGTAAAGTGCAGATCAGGACTTTTTAACCCAGGCGGTGGTAAGAGCTGTCAGTCGGACAACGTCACTGCCGCAAACACCTTCTCTCCTCAAAAGTGCTGTTCTGCAAGAACACAAAGACATTTCAAAACGTCCTGCAACGAAAGTGCGCTTGATTATGATTCCCCTTGTCCTCCCCCGCTGGTCTTGCATGCAGGAATGGAACCTGGAGGGGAACGTCATCTTCTCTCAGCCGATTTCGTAATGAGCTCTTCGGTGAAGGCCCAGAGCGCTTTCTGGTGCGTCCAGTTCACTGCCCATGGCATATTCGGCAGCACTTCCTGGGCTTGCGGATGGTAGTAACGTCCCCGAATATTTTGCACTCGCACGTCATCTGAAGCAGCTAGATAGACCTGCGTGAGAGCACCCTCTTCGGACGTCCACATCGATTCCTTGAAGTACTCTACAATATTTATGAACACTTGGACAATGGGGCCGTGCTCCCTATCATCTTGGTTCGTCTTGTTCCATATCTCGGTGTGCACAACTCCCGGATGCACGCTGTTTGAGAAGACATGCCTCTGAGCGTTTCTGGCGGCCACTTCCCTCGCGAAAAGCACGTTTGCCAGCTTTGACCGCGCGTAAGCGCCCATCTTGAATGGCTCCTCTGCGTCGTACAGGGCGTGCAGATCTGCCTCTGTAATGGCGCAGCCCTGCTTCGCTTCGAAGTGAGCCCCAGAAGATACAGCAACAACGCGTGCATCTCCTTTCTTATCCGCGGCGGACTGGATCAGGTCTTCCAGCAGCGTATAGAGAAGCTGATGGCCAACATGGTTGGTGGCAAATATTGGCTCGATGCCTTCAATTGTTCGAGCCTGCGGGCCAGAATGTGCGATGCCAGCGTTCGCGACAAGTATGTCCAGAAGATCGTGTTTTTCCCGGAAGGCTGCAGCAAACTTCCTAACTGACGCCATGACGGAGACATCCATGATAGCTGGCTCTACCTTAGCCGCAGAGCTGTTCGCCTTGATGAGCTCAACAGCTTTGTCACACTTTGAGCTCGACCGGCAACCTACATACACATGGGCTCCTTGTCGCGCAAGGTGCATAGCGGTCCAGAAACCCACGCCAGAATTCGCTCCAGTCACGATTGCAATCTTGCCGTCAAGCCGTGGCAGGCTGGTATACTCGTAATGCCAAGGTTTATCGCCCCAGACAGCAGGGGTCATGCCGATGCTCACGGGCCCTAGTAATACCATGTACGGCGCCATAAATCGCAGCCGGCCAGCGTGCAGCATACCCACAAACACAGCAAGGGCAGCTGTAAGGAGAGCAGAGATGCACAGACAGCCGCATTTCGCCATGGCTGCCACAACTCGTTGACAAAGCCGTCTGCACGTAGCGCTACGAAAGTGGCACAAACAACCAAAACCTAGGTGACGCTGACACCTTGAGCCAAATCGGTGACGTGCATCGCAGGTCCGGGAAACTACGCGCCCCATTTAGGACAACAGACCAGAAGTGTCGCAGCCATCTTGCAAAGAGGCGCCGCTCAGCAATTCGAATTCACAACAACCTTCAGCCATGGCGCTTCAGCATCTCAATGAATCGCCCGAAAAAGCGACGTCTCAAAAGTGGCGCGAAGCGTCAACACAACGCATGACGAAGCGGACATTCTACGTGGCAGGAGCACATTTCGTTCAGAAGTCTCGGCTTCCCCTTCAGTCTAGCCATCTCCCTCCAAAGGCTGCTCCTTTTCTCCCCAATGGAATTGCCGGACACCAGAAGCCATCTTGTCCGCCTTGCTCACGCTCTGACTACGTAAGCCCGATGTTCCGTATAGATCTCGCCACCCGATGCCCCCAAACCTCCGCCAACGGCTGTCCCAGTGGGACCCAACTCATGAGGCCTCCTCCTGCAGTTCTAAGGCAGGCGCCAACTGCCCCCCCGCTACATCGGGCAACGCTTTGGGGTGGGACTCCGCCGTGCCAGGCAGACCGGATCTCACGATAAGGAAGATCAGGGGGCGCGTCCGCAAATCTACGCAGATAAAGCACGACGCCCCCATACCTACAGCCTGGATCCCTTCTGTGGCAACTCATTGGAGCCCCCCATGTCGTTTTGCTGGCTCCTGCGAATCGACGCTCATCGACGCTAGTCGACGCCAAATCGACGCTAACTCGGTGCTGTCTGATCGATTACCAGGCGCTAGCGCACACGAGTGCACTCTAGAGACAGTTACGACGAGGAAATACAGGGCTCCCATGAGTTGCTACCGAAGCTTTCCATAGGAGGACCGCCTGCCATGAGGGCAGCTTCGCTACTCCCAGACTGTACGGTCGGGTACTTGTGCTTAGCGTGTCGCCCAGGCGGCCCTGGCAACACGCTATGCCTTACGAGTGAATAGCCTATCGCTCCGCTCCGCGGGGCGGGAGGCTCGGAAAGGCTCAGGACGTTGAAGCCTGGGGACTTGGAAATAGATAGCATGTCGAGCCGAATCGTGGTGGGTCAGAACCGGCGGTGCAACACGCTGCCAAACTTCCTGACCGTAGACCTCGCGCGCCATCCCGGCCGATCCCTGCGCGGTCTCGGCCTTCATCGACGCCGCGGCGAGCTCCTCGCCGCAGCTGAGAGCTCCGTGCCTCGCCTCGCGGGGGCTGAAATCATGACGTGAAGGGGAAGAGGGGGGAGCGGGATCGAGCGCGGCGCGAGGAGAAGCGCAACATCCAAACAGCCCGCACCATTGCAGCTCGTGCTGCCGCAAGAAGCAGCCCCCTGCCCCGCTTCTACTGGAGCTGGTGCTCATCGTCCTCGCCTTCCCCTCGCGAGTAGGCAGTCGCGCGATCGGCGTCAGAATCAGCCAGTGCCTCCGGGCAGAATGATGTACCATCCGACAGTGTAGCACGAAACGCGTCCAACGCTTCGCGGCACAAGTCTGGGCATTCCGCGAGCGAGAGCGGTGTTGCCAGCGCGCAAGGCCTGAACGATGTCTGGCCCTGTACCCTTCCCGTCCACACGCAAGCTTGCACTCCCCCAAGCGGAAGAGAATCCGCGAGAGCGCAAGATACCGCCCAGCATGGAGAGAAGGAAGCATCCCAATACAAGACAGCTCGAGAACTGAAGCATTTCGTCGGAATGGCTGGCACACCCCTCCTCCTCCCCTCCTACTGCCCAGGGCCTCGATCCAAACCATCACCCCCAAAACTATCACTCAAAACGCAATATTGCCTATGGTTGGGCAGGACTGCGCCATTTAAGCTTGAGGATAACTCCTCCTCCTCCTCCTCCTCCTACACCTCCTCTTCCTTCTCCTCTCCTCCTCCCTCCTCCTCCTCCTCTTCCTCCTCCTCTCCCTCCTCCTCCTCCTCTTCCGTGAAGACTGTTTTACGACGCACCTGGGCGAGTATACCAATTGACTCTTGATAGTGAGCGTGGACGGGAAGGACGGAACGAGAGGTGAAATTGCTTGCCAGGATACCATCTTCTCGCCCACAAATGACGAGGGGAACAGGGAGGATGGAGAGGGAGCACATTGGACAGGTGATCGCAACGAGAAAATCTTCGGTCTGAGGCACAGAAAATGTGGACGACGTTGATCGTGCGCTGCAGCGTGACGTCATCAGCCGTGGAAGACAATATGGTGTATACACATGTATACATGTGGAGAGCCCCGCCCCCCAGGAGCCATTCTTACTAGCATTGAATTACTACAGTGGTATGCTTCCTTTCCTCCTCCGCCTCCTTCTCCTCCTCCTCGTCTTCCTCTCTCTCCATCTCTCTCCATCCCTCTCTTTTCCCTCTCTATTATCTTTCTCTTTCTCTCTCCCTCTCTCTCTCTTGTTGTCTGTCTCTGCTTCTCTCTCTATAGTATCTCTCTCCATCTCTCTTCCTGTCTTGTTATGTCTCTGTCTCTGTCTCTGTCGCTGTCTCTCTCTCTCTCTGTCTCGCTCTCTCTCTCTCTCTGTCTCGCTCTCTCTCTCTCTCTCTCTCTCTTTCTCTCTCCTCTCTCTTTATTACAGACACCCAACACAATCCCTGTGAAAACGCAAGGGGTGCGACGTCAGGGGTGTGGAAACCGTGTGTTTTCATTGGGATGTTTGTGATTGCTGGGATGAGCAATGATAATAATTTCGTTTGGAGTTTGCGGATTTGGGGGTTTGCATCCTTCCGGCGGGAATCAAGCCCGGGAGCCCCCCAGAAGCTCCGATCCCCAGAACCCACAAGACCCCCGAATCCAAATGGCAACACATGATTCCCTCACTTCTCACACCAGGAATCCAACCATCCAAATGGAACCACAAGGTTTGCGACGTCAGGGGTGCGGAAATCATGTGTTTTTTTTTGTTATGGGATGAGGAGTGATGAAACCATGTCTGTTTCATGTAGAGTTTGCGGATTTGGGGGGTTTGCATCCCTCCAGCGCAAACCAACCCCATGAACCCTCCCAAGAGCTCCGACCCCCAGAATCCCCCAAATCTCCAACCATATGAATGAACAGACACGGTTGTCTCACACCTCATCCCAGAAATCCCCAAACTCCAAATGACAACACATGGGTCCGCACCCCTGGCATCGCAAACCCTTTGGTTTCGTTTGGATCGGTTGACTTTTGTGATTATGGGGGTCGGTGCTCCTGGGAGGACTCCTGGGCTTGATTTTTGCGGGAGGGGGGTGGGAATCGACAGATCCCCAACATCCCAATGGAAACGCATGGTTTCGTCATTTCCCATCCCATCGAATAATCAGACACGAGCAGTGTGCACTGTGCTGGTGCAGTGCGTCCTGCAGGGGACCGCCGGCTGCTCTCCGGAGCGCCGCTGCTGCAGGCCTCCTGGAGGAGGAGGAGGAGGAGGAGGACGAGGAGGAGGAGGAGGAGGGGGACGAGGAAGAGGAGGAGGAGGAGGAGGAAGAGGAGGAGGAGGAGGAGAACGACGAGGAGGAGGAGGAGGAGAACGACGAGGAGGAGGAGGAAAACGACGAGGAGGAGGAGGAAAACGACGAGGAGGAGGAGGAGGAGGAAGAGGAGGAGGAGGAGGAGGAGGAGGAGGAGGAGGAGGAGAACGACGAGGACGAGGAGGAGAACGACGAGGTCTGCCCCGGCCCGTGGCCTCTGCACACGACAGGGCGGGGGGCGGAGGCCTCCCAGATGGGATCGGACGATCGCGCCGCGTCGCCGATGCATCGCCGATGCATCAGCGACGTCGGCAATGCATCGGCGACGTCGGCGTGGAGAAAGTCAGCCCCCCCATCGAGCCGCATCGCCGATGCATCGGCAGTGTGGCGCGATGCTGCGACCTCATCAGCCAGGGCGCCATCTGGGAGGCCTGGAATGAGAGGGGGGGAGGGCGAACCCGAGACACCTCCCTCTGGCAGTTCTCCCGGGGGCCGGCTCCAGACAGGACGCAGCTGAACG